TGTAGACTGGAAACTTTGGAAAAGGATTTCAGCCTACTGCTTTGGAAAAGGCCAGATGGCTTTGGAAAAAGCCAGCAGGATTACTTAGCCAGCTGTGTGTACATATATATACTTTAGGTGCAAAGCCACCTAGAGATATGAGGCATGCCTTCAAAAATCTTGCTGCCAGAGCTGCATCTGGAAACACCTTTTTTGATCTGTTTTTAGAGGTTCCTTTTGATTTGCTCTTTTGATTTTTGCCTTTCAAAACCTATGTTTTTCAAATTGATTTTTGACTGAAAATTTTCAATTAGGCATTTTGATTTCTTAGGCCTCAAAATCAAATCTTTTGATTGTAATCAAAAGGCGATGCTCAGGGTAGGATGGCACCGGGTACTTATGGACTTATAAGTTGAGTTATAGTGGACTTAAGTATAAGTATTTTTGATGGATTTATAATCTACTTATAAGTCCAGCCTAAGTTGGTTAAGTATTTCTAAGTGTTTTGAGGGTCAATTCAGTATAGTTATGTTGTTTTGTTTTTTTTTAAGATTTGATAGCATTTTCAGAGTGATCGCTGCCATTTTTTTCACCACAGCATGCATACAGTGCCGTCATCGTGGCTTCGAAAGTATTGTGGTGAAACACTTTTGTCAAGACACTGCGCGTTCGCAACTACAGGAGCGTCCGTCACATACTTCCAAGTTGTAACAGCAGCTGGCTTTCGGCTAGCGTTTGTTGGCACCAGCTGTTGCAGATGCATGTCAACTTTGTTCCCCTGCCATCGAAAGAATTGGATGCAATAAGTACTGCCATCTGCAAGCCGGACAACTTGTTTTCGGCTATAGGTGACACACTTATATTCGACTTCCAACCAATCTGTGACATGGGAAGGTGCCGGAACTGGGCTAGGGGCTTGGCTCCCCAGGAGTCGAAGGAACATCTTCTCCATGGGCAAAGCATTGTTCAAGTCTTGTGTGACCAAGTCAAGCAAGACTCCCTTCGAGAAAGCCGGTGAGTTGCTCCAGTTCGACGCTGCTCGTGCTTTGTACGCTTTGTTCTTGCGCTCGCACGGAAAACAGTCCACGTGGCGACCAAATTTAGCAATTTGCGCCGTCGTGTGCAGAGCATAGTGGAACTTTGGTCGCATGCATGTATCTGTGTAAGCTTCAGCGAAGCATTTCATATGCCTCTGCTGTTTTGCTAACAAAGTCGAGGCAGCGCTTGGATTTCGCTTTGCATCAGCTAAGACCGAGATCACACCATACAAAGCCGTCAAAGAACGTACGGCTGCTTGCATTGCTTCATATTCGGCAAGCATTTCCTCAGAAAAGCCTACGCAAAGCAAGAGAACCAAGGCTGTTGCCGCACATTCTCCGCGAAAGTCTCCGTCGTCTCGCCAGAGTTTCTCATCAAAAAAAAACTGCGGCGCCACTTGCTTTGCAGCCGGAGAATTGGGGCAGCGACTCCACATAGCAGCATATGTTGCCAGCTGTGCAAGAGTCACACCCGCATGTTCTTGCACGTGTCCCCACCAGCAACCCAGCTCTTGGCCGATGATGCCGTTGCTGAAGTAAGCATGCATAGTGTCAAAGTGAACTGTTTCCACTGACACCCATGAGTCCAAGGCTGGCGCCATCAGGGGGCCAGCTAACAACCCAGCGGCATTCCAACCCAATAATTTCTCCAGCTCCTGTTTCTTGCCTTTTCTTTCTTCTTCTCTCAACCGGTCGGCAGCAGCACGCACTGACCCATTGGATGCCGGCCAAAATTTCTCTATGGCGGTGCAGGTGATGTCGTAGTGGTCATGGACTGCGTCGGCTTTGTTTACTGACAAACAGTTCAAGCATTTAATGCAGCATTTGAGTCCGGAGGCACCCTTGGTGCCAGTGCATGCCCGAATTGCCTCGTGATCCATCAAGAGAATAACGGAATCTATGAAGCACAGGACAGGCTCTCCTGATGACCCAAGATCGACTACGAAGCCATTCTCCGTTTCAGAGCGTATCTGCAACAGCATGGCTCGTGTCAATGCCGCCATTCCTCCCTCCACCTGTCCTATTTGTCTGGAGCGCATGACACCCATGGTGAGCCAGAGGTCCTCGACAAACATCACTTCGAATTCCAGCCACATGACATAGGTCAGGTTGCTTTTTCTCGAGTGGTTTGGACTCAAGATGTTTCCGCCAGACACCTCATCCTGATAAAAAATCAGGGTGAGATGATTGCCATTTCTTTGCAAAGCTCTTTGCATCAAAAGACGATACAAAGGGCAAGCGTCTATCTTTGCCTGCACCAGGCCTGGCAAACTCATGGACCACGCCGTCACAACGCAGCCCGTGTCCGCATCCCGCAGTGGCAATTCCCGCAGGAGAGGGAAAGCGATTGGATGCTTCGTTCTAGGACGGACAGACGTTCTACCACCTCTGTCGTCCTCTCGAACCAGCTGCACTACTTGTCTGCATTCCGCGGCTGTTAGGGATCCGATCTGTCGTACAGATCGATACTGCTCTAACAAGGAATCATCAGCTCGCAATCTCCTTCTTTTCATGTCGACTTAAGCAGCAAACGCATTGCGTCTCCCCATAGCGGCAAACAATTTGGCTACAGGCATGCGATGGAATGGCCTGTTTTTGCACCAAATAACTATATGCATTTTGGATCCATGGCTTGTTTTTTTTAACTACCCGAACTGATATATACACACATGAAACGTATGCGTGACTTGTCTACAGCACATTTTTATATACGACATGTCGACATATTTGCCAACTGACGATCCCTCTTTATGGTTTTGCCCTTGAACGGTTCGATTTCAATCCCCAAGGCAAGCAGTGCACATGCATGGGCATCCTCAAGTACATTCAAGTTGCAAGAGGCAGTGATTCTAGAGGAAGAACGAAAATAATCTATATAATATATATACATATATATATTATAATATATATATATATTATAATATATATATATATATATATTATAATATATATCTACATACATATATATATACATATATTAATCTACATATATATATATATATATATGTATGTATTTATATATATATAGAGAGAGAGATTAGCAGATAGACAGACAGACAGACAAACAAACAGATAGACAGAAAGACAGAGAGACAAATAGATTCACATCGGCACGAATCCGATAGATAGATCGATAGATAGAGACAGATAGATCGACATGGAGAAACCAATCATGTGTCCCTATATATATGGATATATTACGAAGAAAGGATATATAGACATTTGCAGACGCATAATGAGCGATAAAGCCGTGCATTTGTGTATCTGCGGCTATTTGTGCGTAGACTATACTTGTCTGATATATATGCCGACAATGCCTGTGTTGCAGGCACACAACTCCACAAGCATGCAGACAACAAAACGATATTCAGAGGTTCCTGCACGCCAATGTGCACCCGAAATCACTTTTAGCCTTCTGCGTGTCCCCTGCAGTCGGTCAGCATTATGTGTGAAAGACCTTCGTTTTCAAACGCTCATCAGGAGCAAAACGAGAAGTCCGTTTGCAAATTGCAAGCCACTCGTCGAGTCAGAGCAGTTCTGTCACTGAGGGTTTTTTCCTCGCACACGGCGCCCCCCCGGCGGCGCAGCGGCTCCTTCAACAGCGGCGGCCTCTCCAACCTCAGCTTGCTTGCGCTTGGATCCGGCCTTCGCTTTCGCTTTGGGGACTGGCAAGAGGGTCCGCAAATTCGCCATCACTTCGCCCACCGTCTTGTGCAGACACTTGACATCGGCCATATCAAAGGCTGGCGGTGTCAAAGCGTGCTTACCCTCTTGGGCTGCCTCTTCTTCCCAGTCTTTCAACAGTCCTTTGGCACCATGCAGCCAACGCTGCAATTTCTCCACCGTTTGGTCGTAAATTGCTTGGACAGCTTCTGGCAAGTCTTCCGGCACACGAGCACGTAGCTTCGTGACAGCCTGAAGGTCCAAAGACAAAGGTGCTACGGCCTTAGCAGCCAGCAGCTGAACCTTCTGATTGCTCGTGATGTTCTTCTTCTCTTGCACTGCTTCGGCCTTCGCCGCTTTCTTCTCAGCAGCCGCTGCAGACGCCGTGCCGTTCTGCCTTGGCTCTGCCGCTGGCAAGTCCAACGCAAGCTCTGGCTCTGCAGCAGCGGAACCACGTCCCTTAGCCGTGCGCTTAGCGGTCGCCTCTCGCTCCTGACGGAGAATTCTCTCCTCACATGCTTGGTACGTTTGTTTCCACGTCATCGACTTGATCGGCACCTGATACGTATCGCACTGGTACTGTTCGTTGTACTCTTTGGGACAATTCCGCACAGTCTTCTCAGGCCAGCCCTGTTGCACCCAAACGTCAAGGGGCAAAAACTTGGCATCCACACTTGCAGAATTTTCTGTCATCTGCCGAGTGCACAAACTCGTCAAAAGAGCCGCTCTCACAGTGCGCCATTGGATTCTGGATTCCTTCATGTCCTCTTTCTCCTTGTGCAGTTTCTGAAAAAACTGTTCCTGTTCTTGGCTGCTCAAAGATTGCAACTCGTCCTTGCTGCCCAGACCCCGCCGGATAAGTCTATCGGCCGATGCACAGGGCGTGCACTGGAACTTCTGACCGTGCAGCCTCCCGGCGTCGACCGCGTAGGTCAGATTGCAGAGGCTGCAGCGGTAGGTCACCTGCGGCTCAGCTTCCACCGACGCCATGGCAAGACGCAAAGGAACAGGATGGAAAGACACGAAGTGGTCCGCCAAACACTGAGAACTACTACAGGGCTCGAACCGGAAAAGCTGCGGAAAAGGTAGCTTACTCCCTGTCGTCCGCGGACAACAGATTCCATCGTTTTCTCCGCGGACAACCTGACAAATCTAGGATTTCATAGCTTTTTTTTTCTATGTTTAAATTGCTTTAGCTCGCGGACATCGCGGACATGGCCTAACACCGTTGGAGCCGCGGACAACCGCGGATCTGCGCGGACGAGTCGCGGACAACACATTTTCTCCCCAGGAACATTGCAATTTTCTCCGGGTCTCATCCTACGTGCCTTGCGGGTGCAAAGCTTCACAATCAGCCAGCAAAAGAAGAACCTGCGTTTCCGCCGCGTAGGCCCAGCTCGCTTCCGGGAGAAGCATGAGATATTCTTGCAATCGTTTCAAATCAGCTGCCACGGTGCGGAATTCTTCCATATGGTAGCCGGTCAAGCAGTGCTTGAACCTCGACCAGTCATCCGTCCAATCCGACACCGCGCACAGGATCGTTTTCTCCGGGTTCGGATCCGCCGAAACCATCTCCCAGGTTGGGGAAAGGCACGTCTGAATCAAACGATTCAGACGACAGCACTGCTTGGCAGCGTCTGTGTCTGCGGCCTCGTAGGCTCTAGACTCTGCTTGGTCCAAAGTCTCACTTACCTTCACCCAGCAGGTTTCCCATGTCGACCACCAGCCGGGCTGGCTTGACGACGCTGCTTGCAGCGCGGCACGGAAAGCGTCCAGGTTTTCTTTTGATATATTAAAAGAGCAAGGCGTCGGCATGAAGGTAAATTCTCGAATATATGAAAACGAAGCAGCCCTTGAACCATCATTGCAACAGACCATGATGTCATGACATTAATAAGTTTCAAACCAGCCAACAATACAGCAGAGCCCAGTTAATTTAGAGTACCCAAAGAGGGGCGCATTGAGGGGGACAGAACGCACCTTCTTTTTTCCACAAACGGTTCGGCGCGCGTCCTGTCTTCGACTCCTACGCAGACGTCACCATCCTATGTTGATGGTAACTTGCCGGCCGCTGCCGCTGCTTCTATTTTTGGCCTTCTTGGACTTACCAACAGGCTTCTCCGGTTCCGGTGGATCCGACCCTGTGTCTCCGCCGCTTGGGCTCGGAGGATCCAGCGGCAATGCTTTGGGCAAGGACGGCTTCGCCTTGCGAACGCGGCTTGCCTGGGACCTCGTAGGTGCCACCGCTGCAGCCTCAGCGTCTCGCTGATCTTGCTTTGCCCTCTGCGCGCATAAAACCTTCGCCTGTTGCAACGTGTTCTCCCACATTTCCTGCGTCCGGTTAGCATCCGGTAGTTTTTGCCACAGCTGGCAACGGATGCAGTACAGATTCAGGTACATGTGCAACTTTTGTCCACTTTCTTGGGCGGTCAGCTTTTTCCCACAGTGTGGGCACTTCACTTTTGGTGCAACTGTTCCCGCATCTGTTTCCGCACGCCTTGCTGGCCGCAAGTCCACAGCGGCTCCTTCCGGCGGCTGGCCAGGAGGTGACACCGGGCGCTTGCTTCCTTTGTCCTCTGGCTCGGCCTCCTTGCGCCGTGCCTTCCGTTCTGTGCCTGACCGACCGTCGGAATGCCGCTTGCGTTTCCCGTGGGAACGGGACCTGCGGCGTCGGTCTCGCCCACGTGAGGCAGACCGACCCCGGCGGCGACCCCTTGCGTGGGATCGACGTCTTTCCTTCTCATCACAAAAGGACTTGGTTTTGCACGTTTGGGTTCTTCTTCGTCCTTCTGTGGACTTTTCTTCTCGGTCGTCCGTTCCGCTGCCTCTTCCACTGACTCCGAGTCACTGGAGTCGCTCTCCGGAGACATGCGTACCTGTCCAGCATGCGTGAGACAACATGTATGTAGAACGGAACAAGGGCACCAGTGGGAAATGCAATATATACATGTTGCTAAATCAACTATAGAAACTCATATTATAACTGTGTATGAACCGAGCCAAGATCAACAGCTTCTGCAGGTGTTGCCATCCGACAACGCCGCGGCGGCGAAGCACGGTGATGACACCCCGTAGGTGACATCTCTATAGGTCCACGTAAGACCCACGGGTGAGAAGATCCTCGTAGGATCCCTCGTTGACCTCTCGTAGAGACCAATATAACGTGGGTCCGCGTAGGAACCACATAGAGGAACCACGTAGGATCCTTTTGTTTGACACCCCGTGGATCCGCGTAGGAGCCACTGAGAAGAACCACAGAAGTTCTTTATTCGTGACCTCCCGTAGAGATCAGTGCACCGTGGGTCCTCGTAGGAACCACCACGAAGATCCGCGTAGGATCTTCACATGTATTGACCTCCCGTAGAGATCAATGCACCATGGGTCCACGTAAGACCCACATACAGATCCACGTAGGATCTTTTCCCGAAGCTCCCGTAGAGATCCCAGGCAGCGCATCGTCCTCGTAGAAAGATACGCTGCCGCATTACACCCTCCCACTCCACGTCGAAGCGAAAGTCGGAAGATGCAATATACAATTGCATGATATTATATAACATATATGCATAGAATAAAAAAAAAGCTCCAATCTCTGACGTGAGCCAGGGTTCGTAGCATGCGGACATGACAAGTTCTCCCCACGTAGCCCGCCTCACCAAAGAACGGAGAGCGCGCGCCGCAGACACGCCGTTTGAGCCTTACCCTGCAAACAAACAAGTCTAACAACTCATGACGCAAGCCAAAGTTCCAAGTAAGATGGTGAGAATGCATGAACATTCTTGAGTGATCCCCGGTGTGACCCATGCCTCCAAACCCCAACAGCGTGACTTATCCATATGGTCCGAACAGAGTATACCATCTATAGAAGTTCAAACTTTATGGTGTCCGACGAAATAAAAACCGCAGAAGGCAAGAGCTCAGCATGCACTCTTTGCGCCAATGGCAACGATCGATTCCACTTCCGGGACATGAAGCTATATATATAAATATACATCCGTCACAATATAGTACTGCAGCTCTCACTCAAAAAGAAATCCCCGCAGACGCCAACAGCTCAGCGTGCACTCCTTGCGCCAACGGCAACGGCCACAGCCATCCTTGTACTTGCGGCGAATCTTCGGCGGCAACGTTGCTAACAGCCGCATTCGCTTAGCAGCTTTCTTTTCCTTCTGGTCCGTCTTCTTTGTTGGCTTCTTCGCTCTGCTGGATGCAGCCACCTTCTTTGCAGCTGCCTTGCCATCAGCAGCCTTGCGCAACTTCTCAGACACTTTGGAAGCAGGTTTCTTCAGAACCTCATAGGACGACTTCTTTTCCCTTTGCAACCCATCTTCTTTCATCTTTGCTTGCAAACGCGACGCAGGCTTCTTCAAAGCCTTCTGTCCTGTCTCTTTGACCTGGCTGGCCACAGCGCCTTTCAAAGCGGCCAAAGAAGCCGCCACATTTGCAGCACCGCCGTCAGAGCGTGTCTTCGAAGGAAAGGGAACCGATGGCTCAGACATCTCTGCACGCGGCGCGGCTGCGGGAACATCCTCCACTGGACCATCCTCCAACGCCAGCAATACCTTCGGAGGCTTCTCCGCAGGCGTCGCCGGAGCTGCCGCTAAAGAATGCGTCCGCTGTCCCACGTGTGATCCAGCAGCCATCATTCCAGCAGCCATTTGACCAACAGCGTAAAAATCCACAGCATTCGAAGCAGCTGGCTTCGAAGTAGAGGCAGCAACACGATGCGAGTTCCGAATGGGCCATGTGCGGCCACGAACAACCAGATCCGCCGCAGACTGCAAAGCGATCGGTTGCTGACCGTTCGGAAATGCTGCTTGGAACAGCGCCCCTGGACACTGCTCCAAATCAGTAGGCAAGACATCCAAGTACACCGAAGGCTCCGGCTTAGTCAGCAGTTTCTGCACGGTTGCCTTGTGCATTACCGTGTATTGCCACTTGTCCGCTTCGAAAGCGACTCCATGAAAATCAAATGCCAGTGCAAGGATCAAACCACACGTCTTCTCAGTCGGATGACGAAGACCCAACTTCACGAGATGACGACACAAATGTTCCAAAACTTCGGCACGGTTTCGATCCGATTCAAGGCGCGCCACCAACCAAGCAGGCAGATAATGCACCGCCGCCAGGAAATCCTGATTAGATCTACGGCTATTGGCCTCATCCTTGCCTCTGCGAGCAGCTATGTCTTGCTTCAGCTGCTCTGCGCACGCGCCCCACAGTTCCGTCTCGACTGCAGACAAAAGCCGCCCTGCAGCCTCCGTAGTCAACGAGTCCACTTTGGCAACGACACGGCTCAAATCGCCATGTTGCTTGATCAAGATCTCACGGTAGTTTGGAAGAGTTCTCACACCAACCAAAAAGTTCTGAGCCGCTTTCAATTGCCGCTCCAGCTGCAACGCCATGTTGACAGACCTAAACCCTGGAAATGCCAGACGGATTTGACTCCAACAAATGGCCGCAGACCAAAAATCATCTAGTCTCTAAACCAGATTTCTTCCAAATTCATGCCGAAAAATTCCAAAAGAGCTTCGAGGCAAAAAAAATTGCCAAATTCATCATCTTTTACAAACTACCTAAGTCCAACCTAAGTAAATGTTAAGTTCGTGCCTCTGCAAAGGCTACATACTTAGTAACCAGCTAAGTCCACCCCAAGTCCCTATTAAAAAAATCCTACTTAAGATCTACTTAAGCCAATTAACCAACTTATACAGTCAACCTTATAAGTTATCTTATAACGCTACTTGATAACCTAGTTATAAAGTCCCTTAAGTCCTGGCACATCCTAGTACTAGTCCAAGGAAGTTTAGTGGGAGAAACTTCCGTGTTACGGACTTTTAGAATGTCGGGGAAAGAGTTAGTCAAAGAAAGAGTTAGTCAAAGAAAGAGTTAGTCAAAGAAACAGTTAGTCAAAGAAAGAGTTCGTCAAAGAAAGAGTTAGCCAAAGAAAGAGTTAGTCAAAGAAACAGTTAGTCAAAGAAAGAGTTAGTCAAAGAAACAGTTAGTCAAAGAAAGAGTTCGTCAAAGAAAGAGTTCGTCAAAGAAACAGTTAGCATCAAGAAACTTTAGTCAAAGAAACAGTTAGTCAAAGAAACAGTTAGTCAAAGAAAGAGTTAGTCAAAGAAAGAGTTAGTCAAAGAAACAGTTAGTCAAAGAAACAGTTAGTCAAAGAAACAGTTAGTCAAAGAAAGAGTTAGTCAAAGAAACAGTTAGTCAGGGAAAGAGTTAGTCAAAGAAAGAGTTAGTCAAAGAAAGAGTTAGCCAAAGAAAGAGTTAGTCAAAGAAACAGTTAGTCAGGGAAAGAGTTAGTCAAAGAAAGAGTTAGTCAAAGAAAGAGTTAGTCAAAGAAAGAGTTAGTTAAAGAAACAGTTAGTCAGGGAAAGAGTTAGTCAAAGAAAGAGTTAGTCAAAGAAACAGTTAGTCAGGGAAAGAGTTAGTCAAAGAAAGAGTTAGTGAGGGAAAGAGTTAGTCAAAGACAGAGTTAGTCAGGATATATGAGGTAGTCAAAGAAAGAGTTCGTCAGGGAAAGAGTTAGTCAAAGAAAGAGTTAGTTAGGGCATTGATGGTTCCCGCAATGTAAATGGGGTTGCAAGTGGTGCTGGTGGATGAGTTGCGGATGGAGTTTTGAAGGAAGTCTCGCACGAAATGCGTTTTTGAGAGATAGCAGATGCACGAAACCCTATGTTTTTCCATACAAAGTGCGTCCCCGAACGTCGATGATCTACCTCTGCGGTGCGACGGGTGCGAGACGGTCTCGTGTGTGGTCGGATCATCCTCGGATCATGCTCGGATTGCTCTCGGATCGGTTCCGCATTGTCAATGGGGTTTCAACTGTTTTTCGTGCATGTGTGGTCGACAGAATTCCATTGTGATTTGCAACTGTAGGATCGTTCCCGCATTGTAAATGGGGTTGCAAGTGGGGCTGGTGGATGAGTTGCTGATGGAATTCCATTGTGATTTGCAACTCTAGGATCGTTCCCTCACTGTAAATGGGATTGCAAGTGGTGCTGGGGGATGAGTTGCCGATGGAGTTTTGAAGGAAGTCTCGCACGAAATGCGTTTTTGAGAGATAGCAGATGCACGAAACCCTATGTTTTTTCCATACAAAGTCCGTCCCCGAACCTCGATGATCTACCTCTGCGGTGCGACGGTTGCGAGACGGTCTCGTGTGTGGTCGGATCATGTTCGGATCATGTTCGGATCATTTCTCGGATCGGTTCCGCATTGTAAATGGGGTTTCAACTGTTTTTCGTGCATGTGTGGTCGACAGAATTCCATTGTGATTTGCAACTGTAGGATCGTTTCCGCATTGTAAATGGGGTTGCAAGTGGTGCTGGTGGATGAGTTGCTGATGGAATTCCATTGTGATTTGCAACTCTAGGATCGTTTCCTCACTGTAAATGGGATTGCAAGTGGTGCTGGTGGATGAGTTGCCGATGGAGTTTTGAAGGAAGTCTCGCACGAAATGCGTTTTTGAGAGATAGCAGATGCACGAAAGCCTATGTTTTTCCATACAAAGTCTGTCCCCGAACGTCGATGATCTACCTCTGCGGTGCGACGGGTGCGAGACGGTCTCGTGTGTGGTCGGATCATCCTCGGATCATCCTCGGATCATGGTCGGATCGGTCTCGGATCGGTTCCGCATTGTAAATGGGGTTTCAACTGTGTTTCGTCTATGTGCGGTCGACAGAATTCCATTGTGAATTGCAACTGTAGGATCGTTCCCGCAATGTAAATGGGATTGCAAGTGGCGCTGGTGGATGAGTTGCCAATGGAATTCCATTGTGATTTGCAACTGTAGTATCGTTCCCGCAATGTAAATGGGATTGCAAGGTTGCTTCCTGCTGTGGCTGCATTTGTCATACTATTGTCTTTTGCAGCTCGACTTCGTAAATCGTATTGGAGTGGCTGCATGAAGGCTGCGACAGTGATTTGTCAGCAGATTTTCTCCATTTTGGCGCTAGCGATTTTCCTTCTAAAAATCCTTTTAAAAAGTGCTTCAAAATCGTCTTTTTTTCGCTCTGGCGTCGAGATCCGGTTTTGGAGCTACAATTTCCGACGCCGTTGCGCGTAGTTCGATTGTGTTTTGCAACTCAGTCTCTGCAGATCGCATTGTAATGGCTGCGTCGAGGTTGCTTCGTGCTGTGGCTGCATTCGTAATACTATTGTCTTTTGCAGCTGGATCTCGTAAATCGTATTGGAGTGGCTGCATGAAGGCTGCGACAGTGATTTGTCAGCAGATTTTCTCCATTTTGGCGCTAGTGATTTTCCTTCTAAAAATTCTTTCAAAAAGTGCTTCAAAATCGTCATTTTTTCGCTCTGGCGTCCAGATCCGGTTTTGGAGCTACAATTTCCGACGCCGTTGCGCGTAGTTCTATTGTGTTTTGCAACTCAGTCTCTGCAGATCGCATTGTAATGGCTGCGTCAAGGTTGCTTCGTGCTGTGGCTGCATTTGTCATACTCTATTGTCTTTTGCAGCTCGATCTCGTAAATCGTATTGGAGTGGCTGCATGAAGGCTGCGACAGTGATTTGTCAGCAGATTTTCTCCATTTTGGCGCTAGTGATTTTCCTTCTAAAAATCCTTTTAAAAAGTGCTTCAAAATCGTCTTTTTTCGCTCTGGCGTCGAGATCCGGTTTTGGAGCTACAATTTCTGACGCCGTTGCGCGTAGTTCTATTGTGTTTTGCAACTCAGTCTCTGCAGATCGCATTGTAATGGCTGCGTCAAGGTTGCTTCGTGCTGTGGCTGCATTTGTCATATTATTGTCTTTTGCAGCTCGATCTCGTAAATCGTATTGGAGTGGCTGCATGAAGGCTGCGACATGGATTTGTTAGCAGATTTTCTCCATTTTGGCGCTCGTGTTTTTTTGTTGCACGTAGGTTTAGAGCAGTGTGAAGTGTGGGGCGTGAAGAGTGCAGTGTGAAGTGTGCAGTGTGAAGGAAGCAGTGGGAAGTGAGAAGGTGGCATTGGTGGAGTGTAGACGTTCAGTTTGGAGTTGCGAAGAGCCGCATGTGTGAAGTGTGACGTGTGAGGTTTGGAGTGTGAAGGAAGCATTGAGAAGTGTGAAGTGTGGACTGTGAAGTGGTGAAGGTGAAGTGAAGTGTGGAGTGTGAAGTGCGAAGTGAGACTTGTGAAGTGTGACGTTTTGGAAGTGTGAATTTGGAGTGGTAAGAGCTGAGAAGTGGAGAAGTGTGAAGTGTGGACGGTGAAGTGGTGTGAGTGTGAAGTGCGAAGTGAGAAGTGTGAAGTTTGGAGTGTGAAGGAAGCAGTGAGAGTGAGAAGGTGAAGGAGAAGTGTGAAGTGTGGACTGTGACGTGTGGAGTGCGAAGAGCGCAGTGTGAAGTGGAAGTGTGAAGTGTGAGGTTTGGAGTGTGAAGGAAGCAGTGAGAAGTGTGAAGTGTGGACTGTGAAGTGTGAAGTGTGAGTGAAGTGTGGAGTGTGAAGTGCGAAGTGAGAAGTGTGAAGTGTGAAGTTTGGAGTGTGAAGTTTGGAGTGGGAGGGAAGCAGTGAGAAGTGAGAAGTGTGAAGTGTGGACTGTGAAGTGTGGAGTGTGAAGTGCGAAGTGAGAAGTGTGAAGTTTGGAGTGTGAAGGAAGCAGTGAGAAGTGAGAAGTGTGAAGTGAGAAGTGTGAAGTGTGGACTGTGAAGTGAGGAGTGCGAAGAGCGCAGCGTGAAGTGTGAAGTGTGAAGTGTGAGGTTTGGAGTGTGAAGGAAGCAGTGAGAAGTGTGAAGTGTGGACTGTGAAGTGTGAAGTGTGAGTGAAGTGTGGAGTGCGAAGTGCGAAGTGAGAAGTGTGAGTTTTGGAGTGTGAAGTTTGGAGTGGGAAGGAAGCAGTGAGAAGTGAGAAGTGTGAAGTGTGGAGTGTGAAGTGTGGAGTGTGAAATGCGAAGTGAGAAGTGTGAAGTTAGGAGTGTGAAGGAAGCAGTGAGAAGTGAGAAGTGTGGAGTGTGAAGTGCGAAGTGAGAAGTGTGAAGTGTGAAGTTTGGAGTGTGAAGGAAGCAGTGAGAAGTGAGAAGTGTGAAATGTGGAGTGAAGTGTGAAATGCGAAGTGAGAAGTGTGGACTGTGAAGTGTGAAGTGTGAAGTGTGGACTGTGAAGTACGAAGTGTGAAGTGTGGACTGTGAAGTGTGAAGTGTGTAGTGTGGACTGTGAAGTGTGAAGTGTGAAGTGTGGACTGTGAAGTGTGAAGTGTGCAGTGTGAAGTGTGAAGTGTGAGGTTTGGAGTGTGAAGGAAGCAGTGAGAAGTGAGAAGTGTGGAGTGTGAAGTGTGGAGTGTGAAGTTTGAAGTTTGGAGTGCGAAGAGTGCAGTGTGCAGTGTGAGGTGTGGAGTGTCGAGGGAAGGACACGGTCGGGACAGGGTGTCTTTGAACTATAGGTCATTTATGTTTGGGAAACTTCCGCTTCCG